AGCGCTCTGCGGGACCTTCCGCGGCTGCCGCCTCCTTGGTGTCGCGGGTGCGGTGCTTGCGGAGCGTTCTGCTTGGCTGCCGGGGCCTGAGTGGGAACGGAGGGATGAGGGTGGGGGAGCCAACAGGACAGGGATGAACGCACAATCACCCCTGTGAGGCTGCAGCCCTTGGGGCGGGCCAGCAAGCCCCGAGGCCAGCATAGGGCCTGGACACGATGCACCACAGCAGGCGCAGCCTCCCTTTTCCCCTGAACTGTCAGCTCGTGAGGGTTGGAACTGCTGATTATGGAGGTGTCTCGGATCAGGTGAGCCAGACCCGAGGGGAACTCTAGCTCCACTGTTGATGTTTGTTTTGGTAATGAAGGCAGGTCCTCTGACTGGCCTGAGGGGTTTCACATAGGCCCACACACATGAGCCTGCCCTTCCGTCCACTTTGGAACCTTCTGCAGGGCAGGCCCAGCACTCAGGTTGGAAGGGCCAGAGGGCTTCTGCGTCACACAACCAGGGAACCTTTGGAGAATGGACTGACAGAGCTCAGGCTATCCACCTGCTCCTCCCACTAAGCACAGGCAGAAGCTTGGTGTGGACTTTGGGCCTCAGAGGGTTTTTGAGGCTCTTGGTTTTTTATTTAATGAAGAGATGTTGCGACTGAACTAGGGTGACTAATTCAGACCGTCCAAGTTTTTTCTTGATGCCTTCCTGTATGTTAATTAAAAAGGTGGCTGATGCCATTGGACTTGTCTTCATTGGTTGAGAACTGGCTGTATGGGGGTGGAAGGGGGCCCGGTACAAGGCCTTGGTGGGGAAAGAATTCTGGACAGGCGTGGGTGAGGACTTTAAAAGTGGGTTGTGGTTTTGTAAATTTACTTTTGGGGCAGAAGCTGGAGAGGATGGGTGGGGTGGCCAGGTGGGGCTGCTCAAGGCAGGTGACTCGCTGGAAGGGGCATCTTGCTTTGGCCCTGGGTGCCTAACTCTTTCAATGTGAAGGGGAAAAGCCCCGTTAAGATCTGGAAGGAGCACCCAGGAGGCTTCTCAAGATTCCCACGTGAGTCATATTTGGACAATCTGAAGGGACTGTGGAAGGGGTGGAGGTGAAGGGCTACCCTTTCTTTAGGGGCTGCTTTGTGCCAGACACTGTGCTGTGAGCTTCACCTATAAGCTCATTTAATTCACACAGAGCCCTTTGAGGTATGGTGGGGTGTTGCTCAGTCAGTGGAAGCACACCTGGCAGGCTCTAAACTTTGTCCTTCTCATTGTCCCAGGCCGCTTAAGTGTGGGAAGATACAAAGGACACTGTCTAGAAATAATAATGGGGTACTCGGAGATGGCAAGGGAGGAGCAGCATTTACAGCCCTCTGCTCTACCCGCTGAGCTGTCAAAGGAAGCTCAAGGAGTAGTGTTTGTTGACTGGATTGTGTGCTGGGTCCTTTGCATGGGAGACCTCATTAATAGTGAAGTGGTAGTGTGGCGATGCTGGCATACTTAGCCTGGGCCTGAACCTGAGCTCTCTGAGGGCGGGGATTTTTGTCGTGTTTTCCATGGCTGTATCCCTGGGGCCTAGAGAGCACCTGGCACCGAAGGAAATGGCCTGGAGGGCTCTCTTGGGGTGTGTCTGTATCCATGAACTTAGCCCCTCAGAGTCCATATTCATTCTTTCAATAACTTATTCTTAGTATCCCTTGGGCCAATAAGTAATTTCTCACTTTTTTTTTTTGGTCAGCTTTATCCCCTACTATGCCGCGAGCTTCACCTATATGAGCTCTAATAAACCGTGTGGATGGTTGGGGGAGGACAGACGTGGTGGTGTGGGGTTGCAGCGTGGGTAAATGAATTAAGAGCACTGTGGATTTTACTTTCAGAAGGTTCGATGGTAGAGAAAACAGCTAGATCTCAGTTATCTATGGAGGGAAATAGAGGTTTGAAAATCTAAAATGCACTGGCCTTTGAAGTAAATTCCATGATTTTTGTTGGCATCAGGTAAGAATGCATAGGCATTTATATGGATTCCCTTAACAGGCAATAATCTTACAATTGTCTGTACGTGCTTTACAAAGCACTTTTCCTTACACAGCTCTAGCTTCTAACTTAGGAATTATTATTTTTAATTTAGAATTATGATTCTAGTGCTGGGTTGGGGCTGAGGCAGTGAAGGGATAGGAAAGGCCCCCTCATGAGTTGTCCCTCTGGCTCACGGATGTTTTGTCTGATGGGAGCTAATAGGCGATGCCTGTCTGTCTTATTGATACAAGGTGAAACAATATAGTTGACACTAATGTGTCGTGGCCTGTGTCCTGGTGTGGGTGAGATACGTGGCTCAGCTCAGACCCCTCATGTATGTGCAGTTCTGTTCTTTTAAACCCAGCTGGCCTCTCTTTGGTGGAATGCTTGAAAAAGAAGCCAGTGATCAATAGCTTGAGATTAAGGAGGTGCTAAATCATATATTTGAAAGTGGATGTTCCTGTTTATAACTCGGAGGTCCCATATTTCTTTTACATCCTGTGGAGGTGGGAAGAGGATAGATGACTGACGGTACAGACACATGGTGACTGAGCAGCTACGTTGACCATTGAGACTCCTGTTTTCCAAGTGCATTAGGGGGTCTGGGTACCTAAAGCTACAGGATAACACTGATTCACCACATATTCATAAACTGCCTTCTCTGTGCCGCTTTATGTGCTGAAGATGCAGTGATGAACAAGACAGGCAAAGGTCCGAGCCCTCATAGTTTATATTGTTGGGAGTGGGAGGGGCATGTTTAATATGCTTAAAGTTCAAGGAGGGAGAACTTGTTTAGTGTAACTGCAAGCATATTTGCCTAAGATATGGCAGGAGACGTTAAGAGAAAGTTGGGGCTTGTGCTAAGGCTTTGGTCCTAGACTTTTTGGAGTGTGCCTTCTCTTGTCTCTGCCATCACCGTGGACGTGAACTCACTGCACAAACAGATTGTTCCTCTGTAGACCAGCAGCTCTCCCATCCAGGAATGTAAGTGTGTGGTGCCATGGAAATCTTGCCCCTCTAACTTGGGTAACTACCATTGATTGAGAGTCTGCTGTGATCCAGAAACATGACTAGGTTATTCCTTAACTCCCTTTTTGCTATAAGGAACCTGGAGCTTGAGAAGTTGAGTGACCAGTGTGAGTGGCAGGCCTGGGACTCAGATCTGGGTCCACCTGACCCCTGTGCTGGACACACTCAGTTTCTCAGAAACAGTGGGCAGTGAGCCCGTAAGTAGACGATCTTGTCCCATTTCTCCTTGCAGCAGATCCCGCCAGTGAGAGGGGTGCAGAAGCCCAAAGGATGCAAATGCAAGATCCACCCATATTAGGACCGGCTAGAGCAATGCTATTTCCAAACCTAATCCTTTACAGATGTTTTAGTGTAAGGAGGTGGAGACTTTGTGTTCATATGGCAGCAGCCATGTGCCATGCACTCTGCTGGGAGCTTTAGTGTCATGCCGCCTCCTCGCACCAGCCCGACCAGGAAGTATCGGCCTTAGAAGAGGCAACATAATATAAGAAGTTAGGATTTAGGAGCCAGACTGCTTTGGGATAATAACAGTAACTCCCAGGAAGGCTTTTGTGAGGATTAAATCAGATAGTGTGTGTCAAGTGCTTCAGTCAGCATCTGGCAAGTATTATGTCAGTATTCACTATTATCACCATTTTACAGATGAGATTTAAAGCGGTATGTGGCTAGTCCCTCTGTAGCTTCTAAGTGGAGGAACTGGGTTTTCTCACTCCAGAGCTAGATCGCTTTCCTCCACTCCTTACTGCTGAAGGCTTATTTGAAGTTGGCTTGGCTTCGGGCTGTGTCTTGAATGAAGGACTTCCCAGATAGAGCCTGAGGCTCTATTTCACCACAAAAGACTAGGCTCCCTGTGCGCCAGGCACCACCTGTCGCCATAGCCTGATGCTGGAACTCGGGTCCGATGCCACGTCAGTGCTTGGTGGAGCTCTTTACGAACTGAGACTTCTCACCCTCTTCCAGGC